AGCGCACACTAGACCCTCAGCTGCTTGCCCCTCTGGGCAGCATCGGTTCATTACCCGGGCACAGCACGGCATCCTCCTATTCTGGCCTCAAATTGGAAGCACCGAGCAGCAGTGGCTCCCCGCTGCTCCCCAATTAGCCGGCACTTAAATCAGCCATTACAGGCTTCTCATTAGGGAGAAGCCACCCCCAGTGCCAGGCTAAACAGCAAATCACAGCTCAAACTGCTTTCCTCCCCCTAGCACACGGCCTCTGGTCTGGGCCTGGCAGGCAGGAGAGGGTCATGGTGGACAACACAGGCAGGATGACCTCCGGGACTGCACAGAGCCACCCCTCTGCCCACGATAATGGGGCTGTGGTCCCAGTGACTGCCGCAGCCCAGCTCCTGTCACTCTGGCTTTCTCAAATCTAGACGTGTCAGCTTCCCCGCCTCACTCCACGTCTCCATCACAATCCAGTCCTGCCAAGCCAGTAGCCTTCAATGAGCCCCAGGGAGTAGGCTAAGACAGCACCCGTCCCTTGCAATGGCATGCAAGCAAGCTCTGCCGCTTGCTATGCCATCGGCCCCCTCGGCTTGGCTTGGCAACAGCGGCTTTGAGCAGGAGGTGGCTGATCCCCTCCATTGCCCCCTGCCTCTGCCTAGCTCCGGGTCCTCCCACCTCTTGCTGCTTGACCCCTATGAATCCCAAAGCCAGTCCCTTCTCATCTGAAGCTCTCGGCAGGCATCGCTGGAGGGTCAGCAGCGGCATCACAGGCAGCAACGCTGAGGCTCAGAGAGACGACGTGGCTTGGTTGTGGATGGGGCCTGGGGTGCCCAGGCTGTGGCAGGCACTCTTGGAGGAAAGGACCCATCCTGGGCTCCATGCTGCCTTTCATAAAGTAATGAATAAAAGTTTCTTGGTCAGAAGCACAAGGCTGCTTCAGCCCGGCCCCGGCCCTGACAGCTCCCCAGCTGACCATGGAAACAGTCATTAATTGCCAAGCAAGTAATTAGTGGCTACAAAATATGACCAATACAATTACCCTGAGACTTTTCTCCCATTGCCTGAGCTGTGGCACCGCATTACCCTGTAATTAGATGACAAACCTGACAGGCGGCGGCAGGGAAACGGCCCATCCCTGCACTCATTTAACTTTGCGGAGGCCCCCATCGTTCTGCACCGATAACTGCTAATCGAGTTATTTCTCCCACGATTAAAAGATGTTCCGCAGGCGATTTGCCCTTAGCAGCACAGGGCCGTGGGCTGGCAAGTGGCCAAAAGGCTCGTGGATCAGCAGCCGTCTCTGCCGCAGCTGACAAAGCCCCTGCATGCAGCAGGTCTCCGCATCAGGGAATGCCGTCCTCTTTATGGCATGGTCTGGCTGCAATAAGGCCAAGGCCCAGCACACAGCACCCAGTGCTACTGCACCCACCAGCCCTGAGCTCAGCCTTTTATCTATGTGCAGGGTGGCCCAGCTGGATGCTCCTGGCAAGGGACCGTGCTGCCCTGCATAAAACCGAGCCCTGGCTTCTCTGTGCTCCCGAGATGCTCAGAGCTCCACAGGCTGCCAGCCTCCGCCCCACATGATGCATCCCTCCCCAGGCCCTGCTGCACTCCCTGCCTTCTCCTCCAAGGGTGCAAAGTACCCGGGCCAGGACCAGATCATGGATAGGCTTGCAGGGTCCTCAGGACATCACATCTCATCCAGCCCCTGCTCAAGGCAGGATCATCCTTGTCTGAACCACCCCAGTCACGTGTCCGTCCAGCCTGCTCCTGAAAACATCTCTGGCTGGGGTCCCATCGGTGCTCTCTCGGGACAGTAGCCACGGAGAAGATCCTGTTTCCATCCTCCATATAACCACGCTTCGGGTCTCTGAGGCCTGTTATCAACTCTCCCCTCAGCCTTCTCTTCTCCAGGTGAACTAATCCCAGTTCTTTCCACCCTTCCTTGTAAATCAGGGTTCCCAGGTCTCTAATTGCTCTTGTCACTGTCTGATGGCCTCTTCCCAATCTGTCCACATCTTTCTTAAAGTGCAGGGCCCAAAACTGGACACAGGGGAGGCCTCAGAAGTGCCAAACAGAGCCAGAGAACCTCGATTTGCAAGTGATCCTCGTCCTGTTAATACAGCCCGGTAGACTATGGGCTTTTCTGCAACAAGGGCAGCCTGTTGGCTCATATTCAGCTTTCATCCCCTGTAACTCCCAGCTTCTTCTCTGCAGGCTGGCAGCCTGGCCAGGCCTCCCCCAGACTGTATCTGCACTTGCAGCTGTTCTGCCCCACTTGTCCTTGATGAAATCCATCCAACTGATCTGGGACTCTGCTGCCGCTATTGCAGTTCTGGCACTAAACTGAGCATCTGCATGTCCCAGGAAAGGCCCCGGTGCCTCATTCAGATGGTCTCTGCTCAGTCACTGCCCCCCCCCCCCCCCATGTCTGCGAGCAGCAGTGCAGCTCTGACTGCAAGGGGAGTGTCGGGGGGGAAGGCATCTGAAGACCTGGCTCAGTGGGAACTGATTCCCCATGAAGTCTGCATTTGATGCAGGTGTCAGGATGCTTGGTTAGCTCCATTCTGGGGTGAATTACTTGCTTTCCCCCTCTCCTCAGAGAAGGGACAATGGCACACACGATCTTCCTCATTCAGAGGGATGATCGAGGGCCCCTTGTCCAAGCCCGAGGCAGACTGGAGAGCAGTTGTGATGCAGCTCACGTGCACGGGGGAGGCCTGGCTCACTCTGTACTCACACCACCTCCGATGGGTGCAGCTCATTCAGATCCATGTCTTCTTGGCCAAAATTTGGCCCCAGATCCTCCTCCAAAGAGCAGCAGGGCAGATTGGCAGACAGCAAATTAACACGTGAGCCCGTGGCTGCTGCTGTCTCGTTCCCAGATCCGCCGAGTCCCCAAAGGAACAAACAAACTCCTCCCGACTCTGGATGACTTCAGAAAACTCCCATTATCCTCAGATGTGGCTGCTGGAAGAACATCTGTCGCATGAAAGCCACTTTAATACGAATTAATTATGCTGCCCATTCTGTGAGCATTTTTTCTTCTTATCGCCCAGTCAATAGCCCTGGTTTCAAAGGCAGGATGGCTTGTTCTATAATGCTTTCTTTAAGCGACTTACTGCAAGTGCAGCGAGATGGGCTGGCAGCCCCGGAGACTGGAGCGCTGCACACCCAGAGAGCAGGAACAGCACGTGGAAACATCGCGTGACAGGACACCACTCACACAGCTCCACCGGAGCTCACCTCTCCAAGCTGGAGGGCCCTTCCCAGGAGACGGAGGGAGAAGCCCTGCCTTGGAAAGCTCCCAGCTGGGCCTCAGCCTCTCTGCTGAGGTTGCCAGGGCAGTGCCATGGGATACAAGTTGGTCTGCTGCAGCAGTGGCTCTGGGGGCTGCCTCCTTCCAGCCAGGCTGCAGGCAGCTAGAGGCAACGACTCGCGGCGCGGCACGGCCGAGGGGATCCTGCTGTTCATCTGAGTGCTTGCCCTAGTGACCCCTGAATCCAGCAACACAAGGCCAAGCACCAGGCACAACCCCGGGTGTGGGCACCTGTGCCTGCCACAGCTCCCTAGGGAAAGGGCGCCCACGCCTGGCAGGGCAAGACCCACCCCAGACACACAGGTCTGGCGTAAGGCCCTCACTACCTGCTCCGACTGCAGGGGGCACGGGCCCCGGGGGGGTGGGAAGTGGGGCCGAGGTGGCTTCTCTCAGCCTCTCGCCCCTCCAGCTCGGCAACCCCCCCTGCAGAGGGGCGGCCAGCTCCGGGGGGGCGTTGAGACCGCTGTGGACTGGGGGAGGGCTCCCCTTGGACCTCCACCCCCGCCCCCGGCGGCCGGAGCAAGCAGGGAGCCCGCCCCCGCGCGGCAGGGGTTCAGGCGGACCGTACCACGCGGGGCAAGGGGCGGGGGGAGAGCATGCTCCCCTGAATGCTGCGTTGGGGGCACCCTCCCGCGCGGGTGCAGTCGCAGCGGTGGCGGCCGGCAGGGGGCCCGGGCAGGCAGAGCATGCCGGGGCC